GAATTGTCATTTTTAGTGATTAACTTGTCTAAAAATGGTGAAGAATTGTTTTGCATAATCAGGATCTTTGTTCTCATGTTGAGAATTTAAGAAATTCAAAAAGTGCAGAGCATGTTCTTTTCCTTTTATAAGTTCAAAATATATCATTTATATACCTATGATAAAGTATAGGCAATGACCCATCTGACTTATCTAACCAAACTTCCCCATTATGCCCCATGGATAAATTAGCAAGAAACAGTCAAAATAGACCCCTCTGCACTCCTTCAATTTAGTCATAAGTGTAGTTACAACTATTACAAATTATCTATTGAAATTAAAAACACTGAACAATGGAAAAATAATGATTTAGATTATGTAACACACACACACACACATATATATATATATATATATATATATATATATATAGTTAACAGATGAAGAAAAGTTCAAAGGACTTATTTTGGAAGACTTTAAGTTTCACATATAAACTGTTTGTCTGAATCTGATAAATCTATCAATTTATCTGGCCCTAATGTTCTTTGAACTTTTCTTTATCTGTTAACTATTGTCACTCTAATATTGTTATTGAGCACTTTGCAAAAATCTACTTGCCTTTAAATGTATTAAATTCTATTAATTTTCATGTGTTTTGTTAGGCATTATAAATTTATTTTTTTTTTTTATATATATATATATATATATATATATATATATATATATATGTGCATATTTTTGCAGACTTGTTAGTGGACAGATTCAAGTTTAATTGTACATATGTCAAGTGTTTCTTGTCTTGTGAACATCATGGTAAATTCCTCCAAATACTTCAAAAATCCAATATACCCACTTTACCTTAAGTACTGAAAACTGTTGAGCATGGAAATGTGTTTAATTTATTTAGGCACTAGGGGATCCGTCCACGAGATTGTACATCCCCGTGGCTCTAAAAAATAAGTGGAGGTTATTCTCTGATAGTTAAGGATCAGATATTTGATAGAAAAAAATTCAACTTTATTAAGACCATTGTATTCAATGTGATATAGTTAAATTGAGAATCAAATGCTAAGAATTATCTTGACACTGGAGATCCATCCTCAACATGGTACCTCTCCATTACATCATTATTGATGTAATATAGGTATTATTTTTCAGAGAATCTGATTTTGTATTCTTACTGGTAAGGTAATTGCTTCATTAAAAGAATGATGACATTGTCTTGTAAATGTATCTCATTTAAATATTGTTTAAAATTCTGTGATATTATTCTAAAAGCAGTGCCAGTCTGTTGCTTTGATTTTTCATGTTGGTAATATTGATGTCATACTGAGCATAAAAGTTGAATAGTGAAAGCTGTTTTTAGGTATTTCCTTATTGGAAAAGTATTACAAGACAATAAAATAGATACCTCCACAGATTTTCTAAAACAAGAGCATAACATGATGAAAAAAATTCCCCAAACTTAATAAAAACAAAGTTATACTGTCAAAATCTTTACTATTATTAAGAGGAAAGACCAAAGAATTGTTTTAATATATTTTTTGGTCCTTTTTTAAAATGTTCAAAACTTTCAAAACTGATTAATGTTTATATTAGTTATTAGCAGAAGTCTTTGGAGAATTTAAATTCTCTTTTTCTTTTTTTTTTTATGAAATGGAATGCCCAGTTACTGAAAATCTACTCAGTCATAAAATAAAAAATGCGATAAAACTAAGGCATTATTTAATTAGAAGTGCTTTTAATTACTTTTGAGTCAAATATTATGGACACTATTGTCTTAAGAAAAAATTTTCTTTCAATGAATAATGAATTTTTACAAGAATTGTTTTAATATCATAAATGAAAAAGCTTACTACAATTCAGCCCTCCCCACCCCAATATTTTAAAAAGAATTTTGAGTTTTTTTGGGGTTTTTTTGTAAATGCTGACAACTATACACATTATCAGAAAATAAAAGCAATAACTATAATAAATTTAAAGCCAAAGTACCTAAAATTCAATAAAACATTAGATTACAGAGAATATTTTAAATTTTTAAGTTTACTGGGTAATTAAAGATTATATAAAAAGGTGTTCATGTTATATTACTCGAGTAATTTTTGCAGAAAAAAATTAGATAAACCTCCATCAATCAAGTTGTCAACACTTTAAATAAACACCTCCCTCCATGTTAAAAATGCATTTTTACAATATTTTAAATTAAAAGTCAGTAATATTAGTTTCAAATCAGATTAATTAAACTTTAAATCAGCAAATATTCCTCAAATCAAGTTTCTGAAAAGTATATTTTATTTTTGAAAGATTTTTTAATCAAGAGAATTACTTTGTATTGATAGATGACTAAAAATGGCATTAAAATCAGTGATTTTTAGCAATTTCAAAATGAAAACATTTCAATCAATTTAAATTAGTTTTAAAATACAGCAAAGTATTTTATTTACTGGAAATATTAAATTCAATCTATTAGCTTGAAATTAAACTAAAATAAAAGCTTCCAGAAACATTTTTCATTTTTAAAAATTCATTTTAAACCTTAGGTATCACATTTCTGTGTTTACCTACAATAAAATGATCTTGGACAGAAATGATTTATGAAGAAGACAAAAAGGAATTAGTCAGGCACTTGACAGTCCCAGATCCTATGGACCACTAAAATGTTACTGTGGACCCCCAATTTACTATTTTTTTGTGTGTGGATCCCCAGTAATGTTACATGGACCCCAATTGAGTACCAACAATCTACTTTTTTTTTCATTATTTTAATGTTACTTATTCTAGAATCTCTATAATTGTTGTCTAGAATTCCAATATTAAGTATTTTTCTTCTTCCACTTGCTCTCATTTCCTTATTCCACACAATATTGAACATAACATTTGTTGTTTTTAACATATCATTTTGATAATACTTCTTCAAATGTGTTCAAAGTCCATTGGCTAAAATATATACTGTTTTTTTTTTTTTTTTTATCCTTTCATTTCAAGCAAGGCAATAAAGCCACTAAGATGACAGAGGGTTACTGAACGTGAGAGCATATCATAAAAATAAAACATTATTAAAGAGAGAATAAAAGAACAAATTAAAAATGGAAGATAACGATTAGCATTGAATGTAAATTTTTGAAGAGCAAACTTGACTGGGAAGCAATAAAACTGGAAGAGAGTTTCACAAGTGAGAAGTGTGAGAGAAGAAACTGTTAGCATAGTACTTATAAATATATACAAAGACATACCAAAAGAAATTCCAAAATTGTATTGGCCATAATATTGTGTTAATAGCAATAAGTATTAAGATAATAGTTGGAAAAATGCTGTAAAAACTTTGGAAAGCCAACGAACGTATCATCCTTAATGTTGTGATGAATACATGAACATAAAGGTACAAGTGTAAATATGGAATAATGAAAAGACTTCATCTGAGAACTTTGAATAACTGTCTTTATATTTGTTTAATAAGTTGATATATCAGAAACAAAAGCAGCTGGCATCTTAGCTGATTGAACAATATTACAGGGAAATTTCATTTTATTGTTTGTTCCATTTGATTCTGTTTGATTTTATTTTTGTATACGACAAAATAAAAAGTAAAAGTTACCATGTTCTGAAATTATTGTGAATAAACAAAATCAATTAAAATTCTTTATTGTTAATTAAATATTATGAGCTGGCAGGTATTTTAAAGTCACATTTTAAACTGTTTGTTGGGGGTGTCAAATTATTAGTATTGTACGCATACAAACAGCAATTTTCTCCTTTTCATTGAGATAGTCACGTGGGCCACGTGACGGCTGCCGAGTGACATCAGGGGATAGAGTAACAAAGAGGAGTTACAATGTAGAGCCCAGAGAAGAATGTAGCGGTAGGTCTTAGGGAAAAAAACGCATGACCTAATCAGGTTCCTAGAAAAAATCGCTTTAACTCCAGTTTTCCCCTTTGGTAAATATTACAAGGTTCCCCTTTCTTACACACTGTTTGTTGTTGCATACATGTTATAATTTCTCTGCATGTGACACATCTATATATAGTTTTGTGAATGTCTTAATATTATGGAAGTTTCTCTGAGAACAAAGCATGTCCCATTCTTTTTCCTTTCAGCCATTCCATTCTGTCTGTGAAATATCAATGTTATTATACCATGGATATAATAATACCCATAACAGGGGGAAATACAAGAATGAATAGAATAATGAATTCAATAAATATACACAAATAGAAAGGCAACATAAGACAAAGATGTGTCTTCTCACCAAAGCTATTCAACCTTTGCAGTGAAGTAATCCTGAGAGAATTACATGTCCTACCAGGATTCATTATTGGTGACCACAATCTTACCAAGAGATATGCAGATGAGACAAGGTTGATAACTGACACAGTAAGGAAACTATAAGAACTACAGAAGGTATTGGAGGAAAGTGAGAAGAAAGGATGAAACATCAGCTGCAAGAAGATAGAACACAGGGTTGTCAGCAAAAGGAACATCCCAACATGCAAATTAAAAATTGGAGTTACCAAAATTAAACAATTACAAACATTTAAATATCAAAGAAGCATTTTAGCAGAACGGAAAATGTGAGACTTAAATCTGAAGGTGAGATAGCAAAAGATGCCTTCCAAAAGCTAAGTAAAGTAATAAAAACCAAAGTATTGAACTGTTATATAATATCAGTCCCACTACATGGCAGTGAATGCTAGATGATCTCATCACATGAAAAAAAAATGACTTGAAACAAGAGAAATGTAGTTCCCCATTTTTTGTTTTTTAGGGTTTATCAACCTTTGTAGGATATTTAAAGTCAGAAAATATTTGTAGATTCTAAGTTTTTTTTTTTTTTTTTTTTTTTTTGAGTTTGTAATGATTTACTGCTACAAGTTTTACTAATTAACCCATAGCTGTGGATAGAAGAGGGGTATTCATAACTTTCCCGAGATTATCTGCACATAAGTGAATATAACAAACCCAAATGGAATTAAAACTCAGCTCTCCGATTTACAATTCTGAGCCATTATCCTGCACATCCAAGCTTACAACACCTGGTATTCCCAAGTCGTCGCCCGTCCTGGTACTGACCATGCTCACCATTACCTAATTTCAGTGATCATACGAGAACCTGTGTTTCAACATGATATGGCTGTAAGCCCTGTGGTTCACCAGAAGAAAGCTGAGAATGCCACAGACTGAACATGTAAGCAACAATAAAGTTTTAAAGAAAATGGAAACAAAAAGGATACTTATACTTAGCATCAGAAATAGAATTGAAATTTCTAGGACACAATGAGAAAAGAGGGCTTGGAGAATTTGCCACTCACAGGATATATTGAAGGAAATCAGCACTTAACCTATCTAATAAGCTTGTGTAACTGATTGAAAAAGCATTAGGAGAGAGTAAAAAGATTAACTTTATTTAGGAGCTACAAAGGACGAGAAATTGTGGAGAGCCATGATCACCCTCACCTGAAGAGATACATAGAAGAGATGAAACAGATTCATGCCTTTCACAAGGGCATTAGTGCTAAAATGAATACAACAGACTAGCACATTAACATATGTAATAATAGAGTTAATAGAAATATGAAGTTATCAGATTCAGTAATCATGTGATAGTAACCCAACTATATCCAATGGAATGAAAAGGAAAAAATTACTATTTAAAACTGAATAGACTTTTGTGCCAAATATACTTTTGTGCTAAACACAATTGCATTCTGGAATCATCATGCAGTTGGAAATTGACCAACTTATAAAATAAGTGAGGAATTTTTTAATCCTGAAATAAAATAATTATGCAACAGAGAAAAAAACTTTGTAAAAAATAAGTTTGTTATAACAAATAAACGCTGGGCTTGGGGATGGGGAAATGAATTTTATTGTGCCAGCACTTATACAAAAGAGTAAACATTAATTCATATATTTATTTCCTTATATTATTATATATAAGTCTAATTAATATTGTAATTTATTGAATTGTATACAATAATATTTGTGAAAGATTAAAACTGTCCAAAGAAAAAGTAGTAAAGATATGCACAAATAAATTTTTCCCCATTTACTTGTATTCACTTTCAAATCGCTAATACATCATGGGAGTTTGGAGAGACAATAACAAATCACCTTGATCAAGGTGATTTTGTTAAACCTTGAACGACCATGCCATCAAGTGCTGATTCAACTCTCTCAGTTACAGAATTATGCTGTTTTAACCATTAAATGTCACCACTTTGCTGACAGGGCAGATAGGCCACTGCAAAGGTGCCAGACATTGCATGTTTTTGAATTCAAAGTTTTCCTTCTAGATTAGATTACAACTAAGCCCAGACAGCTCTCCTATTTATGGGGGAAGATGAGATAGATCCATACCTTTTCCAAAAGTGTGCAAAAGTGAATGCAACAACCCCAATTGGGATTTGAAATCAGGACACCAATTTTGCTTTTAGTGCTGTTAAGCAGTGCTATATATGTGCACATTTGCAATAACAAATATGAACATAAATTCAAAAAGTAAATCTTTTGAAATTCATGATGAACAATTTAGGAATAGCACAGTGACTAAAATATTACTGTTATATTCTAGTTGACCATCAGAAATGATAGTAATATTTAAGTTTTCAATAAAAATATCAGAAACTTATAACTATCATTTCTGATACAAGTAAAATGAAATTATAAAAGTGCTTTCCATTTATGAGCAACTTAAAATCGGGTTTTAAAAATAATTACATACATAGAAATGATTTTTATTTATCGTGTTTAAAATAACAAAATTCTGTTCTTACTATAAAATTAGAAGAATTCAATTTATAAAGACAGACAATTCACACATCACCTTGTTGAGAACTTTTCTGCTTACAAAGAATAATGTTAACATACACAAAAATATATTTACACTATTTACATTATTTGGACTGTTGTCCTCATCGTTATTGTTGTATTCACAACGTTTCGACTGTTTTCACTCCAACTTTCTTCAGGTGATGTACGTTGGAATTTCAAACCTTTTATTTAGTCCACTGGGGTAGATTGTTCTAGTTCCATGTGCCATGCCTTTTCTGGATATCTCAGTTTCAGTTAATTCCCTTTAATTCCAGTGGACTAAAAGGGTTCAGCTTGAAATTCAAATTTTATTAACTATTCTAGATGGATTCTTTTGAACCAGTTTTTCATTTGTGTCTTAGCCTTCAAAATGCATCTTGAGTATTGCTATATGGTAAAATATTCTTATTAATACTTATTAAGTTTATCTGTATAAATAGTGTGATACTATAGACACCTACATAGAAGGGGAAAAGGTGGTTTTATCTTGATCTCAAATGTTTCAGTTTAATGAACCAGCAGATAGTTCCTTTTGAAGCCTGGTCTTCTAAGCAGCATTCATTTTCATTGAAGTAATGGGATGGCTGACAAAGGTTTTAGTCAATTAAAACTGGAAACAGGTTATATCTGAATGCTGGTTTATATTAACAGTGGAATCGAGGAGAATTCTGATCTGCCTTTGGTGGGAGATGGATGTGTTTGCTGAGCAGTCACTAGAGCCTCCATTTTGTATTGCTAGCCACCGTGTTGGGATGAGGGGGTTGGTAGAGTGAAGAACTGACATAGCAGACATCCCAAATATTACTTACCTACCCACCTGGATGAGCAGGCAAAGCCCTGTATAAAGCCTAAATATACGATGGGAAATGGTTTGTGTTCTTTGTTAATATGGAGTTTCGTTCATCATGTTAACTTGCATTGTGCTCATTCCCAGCTTTTGGTGAATACTAATGAGATTGAAGATTGGAATGCAAATTGGGGTAATCATTAGCTGATCATTGAAAATCTTGAGCAAGGGTTGTGTTTTATGTTTACAGTAGTACTAAGAGAGCTTTTCACTTACTACAGTAGTAATAGTCTGTGAAATTTGCTTGCTAACCACTGCTCCATGGCAAAATGACAAGTTTATGCTACATGGTAATATTAGCTATTTCCTCACAATGAAACTTCAGCATTCAGCCAGTACTACTTTCAGTAGAAATTTATAAAATCTTTCTCTTAAAATACCATCCTGGGTATGATGATAAACTACATCCGCATCCCGGTTAAGACGATAAATTACGTCCAACAGCAAGGCCTCTGATCAGGAGGTTTTGAGGTTCATGAAACCACCTCTTAATTGCTGGTGTTCCCAGGTCCACCCTGACCTAGGGTGGTAACGCCTATTAGAGTCCCAGCTATGGGCAAGTAGTTGACACCCAAACTTGTGTAAAAATAGGTTTTAATACCAGAAATACTTTGTAAAAAAAAAAATATTACCAGCAATAATTTTTTGAGGAAAAATAATTATCAGCAATACTTAAAAAAAAAATACAAACAGCTATACATTCGTTGAAAAAAATATTACCAGATATAGATTTCTTCAAGGAAAAATATTCCCAGAAATAGATTTTTGAAAAACATTACCAACAATAAAAATTTTGTCAGCATTAAATAATCCATTAATATGCCATAAAAGAAACCAAACCAAACCAAACTCTTAAAATAATTTTTCAGGAAAATAGATTTCTTAAGCCCAGTAAATATTATTGCATTTTCCAGTATAGATAAGGGCTTCCTTCATAATCTTTTTTTTTAAGTAGTGTGAAACATAAACATTTTGAGTCTGTCTATATTTCTGAGATGAGGTATTATGTACATTATTTACATTATTCGGACTATTTCATGACACAGTGGGTAAAGGTGTTGGTTAGATCCAGTGACAAAACCCAAAGAGTGTGAGTTCAATACCCAGTTAAGGCAGTGGAGAACTTTCAGAGGGAAAATTAACAGGAGATAACTGATAACTGACATCCATCAAACATGGCCCATGGAACTAGAACAGTCTACCTCAGTGAGCGAAATAAAGGGTTCAGGTCGACATTCCAACCAACTGAAGAAGGCCGGAGCATACAATGGCCGAAACGTTGTGATAACTATATGGAGACAAAGATGAGAACAATAGTTCGAATAAAGTAAATAATATAAACATTTTGATAGTGTCCTTATTTTTTCTTTGAGTGACATGTGTTATTGAACTTAATTGATGCTACTGTTGAAAGTCCTCAATTGATGTGGTTTCTTTTATCTGGTACAGTTCTTTGTGATGCTGTAGCACCAGTTTGCAAGGTTTGAAAAAGGATTGTTCTTGCTAAGACCAACAGGAGGCTTCATTTGCTCTAAGCCATTTTTAACCATTGATCTGAGAATGTGGTTGTATACAGCTGATAATTTAGATATTTCGGAACAAGTTTGGTGCCATGTATGATATCCATATGAAAGTCTTGATCTGATGAAAGCTATTTAAGATCATGACCTTTCAAACATTGAACTAGTCCTACTGTTTGGATCAGAAACTTGGACATTATCTGTTCATCTTGAAAAATGACTAGATGGAATCGATACAAATCTACCTAGAAAAATTCAGAACATCATTTGGAGATCTCATGCAAAGCGTTTACATAATTTACAGAGAACTGAGTCCGATCTCTCTTAAGCGCAAACAAAAACGATTACAATTTGCCAACCACTGCTACGAAGCAGACAGAGAAATTGTTTCACCTTTATTCCTATGGCATCCTTCTGGAAGTGTCTTCTCTCAAAAATTGACTTTCTCAGACACCATAGCTCAGGATTCAGGGTTGGAAGTTGGGGATCAGGGGACAGAAATAAAGGACCAAACAGTGTGGAAAGGGATTCTGACCAACCATAGGGAGGTCAAAGTATGATGATAATGATGAAGAACATGACTTGAGTTTTTAGGTTAATGTTTTGTGTATATAATTGTTTGCAGTGTGAGGCAAAACTAACCCTGGTGTACCAAATGAGGGTTCAACTCACTATAATAGCAGTTGTCTCATGCAAAAAGCTAGCTATCAATCACCTTACTATTTTATAAGCTCATCTTAGTCTGACACAAGGCTGTTGTACTTGCATATCCAGTAAGAATTAAATTCATTACACTAACAATGTTCTTGTGAGATCAGCTTTCTATCCCTTGCTCTCCAATATACATTTTCATAACTAAGCATAGCCTAGTCTGGTACAAGGCCACAACAACTGATTCCTCAATAAGTATTCAATTCAATGCCTGATCAGAACTAACATATTAGACATCCCTCTCCAACC